CTCATCTATTCTCTTGATTCCCATGGGCTAGTTATATTCCCTAGTTACTGTGTATAAATGATGATTTCTACAATAAATCTGTTTCAAGCAATCAGTGCTAGCACCATGTGTTGTACTAGGTGTGTTGTGAAGGCTGTACATCCATTCTCTTTCAGCAATGTTCTTTTCAGTATACGCAGCATGTGCAGCAGCCAATCAGGAATGCGGAGCTAGAAGTATGTTCCTTGTTGATGTGCTCAAACTCCTTTAGGTATGCTAGCACTTTAGTTTATGCAAGGTGGCAAAAAAAGATGTCACTGTCACTGGGTTAATGGTTTATTCCAGATGTGTCTAAATATGTATTTCATTGCGTTGCCATGTTTCTCTTTCTGCATAGGATCTTTGGCTGCCCTAGCACAGCCTGAGAGCTTTGCCTGGTCAGATGTGCTGGTTTGTATCTAATCACTTTATTCCAAAATTCTGATAAGCATCATCATCTATGCTATAATGTCTAGGCCTTACAGGAGCCAGCTTCTGTGAACACTAAAGATTCCCCTTAGGATCTAAAGGCTTTGCTCCTAAAGTGCTCTGGGGTGTGTGTTATACTCCTCAGGCACCAATAAAAGCCCTTTGAATTCTCTCAGACACTCCAAGGGGAATACTGTAGAGCACCTCAAATGGATACATGCCCCATGGGGATACCACCATATTTCTAGCAAGGCTAAGTGGAAGTGGCAGTGGGTGGTTCAGCAGATGTTCAATGCTGAACTCTTCAAACCACAGTTTGAAGACAAGAATTGAATTAGCATGTATTGTTTGAAGAATGTAATGTTGCCTCTGCTTATCTTCGTTTTTACGGATCGGAGCACTACATGGTGCCTTTGGGAAGGCTCACTGTGGAAAAACTCCTAAGTGCCTTGAGTTACACTTCTTTACATAGCCTGAATTGCCCCAATTACACCATTCAGCACAGCACAGAACCTATTGCATCTGAGAGCTTTCTTTAGGATCTACAGCTAACCAGCCCTTCACTTTATTTTGAAAGGTGCTCAGCGTGTTAGACTATCTCAGATGTTTTCTAGCATATGCCTAAAGACCCAAAGCCCTCAGAAAACGCAGCATGTTCATAGCATTGTCCTCTAGAAGGCAGGAGACTGCTGCTTCCATTGCTGGATGGCATTTAAACCCCTGTTTCCTAGCTGCTAGGCTGTTCCCCTGCCCACAGTAAGGCTTTACAGGGAAGCATTAAGGCTTTGCTGAGCAGCAACACCTAGTTCTTAGAGCACACAGGGGAGGGAAGAGTAATGGGGTGCAGTCCTCTCTCTCAGGGCAGTTTGTACATTTTAACCAGGGACTGTTTAGTGCAAAATGACACAGCTTAAGATGTTCAGAGGATCCTTCTGTATCCCAGGTTACTTGCTTCTCTATGAGCTTAAAACCCAGTGTGGATTTGACAGTTGCCTAGAAATAGCACCCGAACTGTCAGGTCCCATTTCTCCTGTAGGTTTGGCTTCTGCCATGGATGTCTATACTGCTGTTTCCATTTGACTCTGCAGATGCCAGCTGGGTCATTTGCAGTTCTTAGAGTCCCCAGAAGCAGCTGCAGCTACGGGAGACTTGTCTTTCTATCACAAGGTGCCGCTCAGTGGAAGCTGCAAGTACATGCAGCCCTTGATGAAGCTTCTATCCAAAAGGAGGACTGCTTTCTTGGTGGGCAATCAGAAGCTGCACTTGCTATCCCAAGTGCTGGATTTCAGTCTGTGACAGGCTCATACCTTCAGGGACCTGACAGTGAGGAAAAGGTGAAGTACTATGCTCAGCAATGATAGCTGGGCACTGTTCACAAGAGGTTTGCAAAGGTTAGGGAAGCCCTACATGGGCTGAGGTGTTCCAGGCATTGCTGCCAGTATGTACTCCAAAGGGTTTCCCAACCCTTTCTTATGCCTCAGATAAACTGTAACTAGCCACTGAACTTACATCTCAGGCTTGTATCCTGTACAGGCTTAGCCTTCTGTGACTGTTCCTTTGAATTTCCTCTCTGGTCAGTTACATATCAAAAGCCTCAGCTACTTTCTTGTCCAGTGTCAAGCTCAGGCTCCACTACAGATATATCAAGTTTCCTGAAGGGATGGTAGCAGGAGAATTTGGTATGATGGTCAGGACCAGCATTTCTGATCCATAACAGTTTATTAATTCTGACAGAACAAGTACGTGACCCATCACAGAGAAATTTACTCTCTTCAAAAGAGAAACCCCACTTCGGCAAGGAAGAAAAAGATCCTGCAAAATCCTAAACTCTAAAAACGTCTAAAAAAGAGTTCTGTTGGTGGAAGCAATGGGTGGTAACAGTGTTCTGTGAGCTTATCATTCCAGTGTGTGGTTTTGAGTTGAGAATTGCCCTAATGAGCTGCAGTAGGTGGATTTTTCTGTGGCTGCATACACAATGGAAAACACCCACTTCATCTTGCTTGTGCTGTTTTATTTAAATTCAGTTAGCTTAGTCCCATTGCAGTCAGGTTTATTTAATGTGTTTTTATTAGCTAAGTACTGCTGGATGCTCCAGCACAATATGCTTTATGGTAAGGAATGAAAACCACAGGAGCAGGCAGTAGCATTAGCAGTATTCCCCACCATTGCCCTTTTGCTCCTGTTGAGCATTGTGTTTTGCTGTGGAATAGTAACAAGCCTTCACTGACAAGAGGCGAGGACAAGCATGACTGAGGATAGGGAAACCACTTTGACTTCATCATATCCTTAAGCTCCACAAACTGCTCTTTGCTGATTGATGACCTGATGCCCACTCATCTCTGTTCTTCTTCTGGCTGTCTTGCCTTGCTGATTCATTCTGGGTGAAGAAGCTCCCATATACAAAAGGCATACATCTCAGCATTGCTTGCACATTGGGAAGTGCTATTTCAGTTGCTAGGGGATCTGCTTAGAAAATAAAGCCAACTCTTAAAAATGGTATTTCCATTTCAAACAGTCTTGTGTTGTTCTTATATGTTGTTTCAGCTAATTTTCTGAAGAATCATACCCTGGTTTTGTTTTTCTATTAATATTGAGGGGAAGTCTTTATTGAGACTTAAGACTGCTTGAGAACTCAACTTGCATGCATGCATACATAGACCACAAGGAGACCAAACTGAGTCAATATGTTGCCTAAGTTCCTGGAGAGGAAGAAAGAGAAGTGCTACAAAATTTAGAGGCAATTGTGCTGCACTTTTTGGTTTTGGCCCAGGTTCAGTGTTTGAATAGAATATACTGAATACAATTTAAAAAATCGAGCAGTATTCTTGTGAAAATGGTCAGATATGTCTGGTAAGAAAATCAAATGGATCAGCAAATGTTCTATGAATGACTCTTAAATGCAGCTGGAGAGGTCGTCTGTTTATAAGCTCAGCCAATAGCTCTAGCAATGGAAACCAGGGATCTGGATGGAGACAAGGAATTGCTAATAGAGTAATTGACCCCACATTAAAAATTTAGAAAATACAGATTCATATCGCTGTATGTGAGGTTAAGCAGAATGCAGCACTGGTAAGAACTGAAATGAAAGTCCTTGGGGTGTATTAGGTAAAGAACAGTCTATGCTTGCAAGTAGTTTTAGCAGTTAAATGGCTCAGCTCATTCTCTACTACCTAATGATAATGTCTTCAATTTCACACATTGATTTTTAAACAACACGTCAAAATAAAGTGAGTTCTGTAGTCAAATTAGCATAGTCACAGATCTGCTGCCTTCTCTACACCTCAATTGGAAACTCCACACTCTTGCAGCAAGCCAATTCCGTTATCCTCAAGGTAACTGTTGCAGTGGGGCTTAGATCGCTCTGCTCAGGACACACATATGAAGTACCAGCTGGTCATCAGCTGTTAGAACTATAACGCAGCACAGCGCATCCGCTAGCAACTGCTCCAGACATGCTCCCTGAAAACCTCTCAAAACTCTTAAGTACTGCATTTCCCTTGTCAGCAACAGACATCTCACCAAATAATCTCCTTACTGGATTACAGACAAACACCCTCTTAGATTTTGCAGTTATCAGTATTAAATTCAGTGTAGTTTTAGATGAGAAGAGGGTAGGAGGAAGATCAGAGGAATTTAGTATTGGCAGAAGGTTCAGTATGGACAACCCTGGAACCACTAATTCACATAAATTGTGAGACAAGGTCTGTGGGGAGGAGTTTGTCCCTGCCTGTCTTGCTCCATGGGAGACAGCGCTGGGAGGGAAAGAGAATTTGGGTACTATGACTACTGTACCTGCCACAGTCTTCAGGCTCTAGTACACTGGTGTGGGGCCATACCGACATTATATTTACTAAAGACAAGCTCTTGAGGCACCCCAGTTGGTCAGGTCCATGTGCCTTTTCTGTGTATGGTAAGGGAAATGGTAAAACAGAAACTTTCCTTACGCAACCTAAGCCAGACACAGCCATTAAAACCTGGCACCTGAACGTATGTGTGGTCAAATGATACAGAAGAAGGGGTCTGCTGTACACAGCAAGGTTGCTTCATTGTGCTGAATATGATAAGACCTTGGAAAACAGCATCTGTGTTAGCAGAGCATAATCCAAGTGTGCCATAAGAACCTACAATGAAATACGGGCCTAGTGAGAAGCTAATATTTTTGTTTGCTGCTTTCTTTCCCACATTTAGGAAATACCATATGAGGAGGTCTTGGTTGAGAAGTACCAGCAGGCCTGTCTATTTACCCAAGGACTGCCTGGAGAACAGAATGGTCAAAGCCTTTGAGGGCCACGAATGTCTTCCCTGTTCTCTGCTATGATGCTGACAAGGGTTATGTCCAGCAGGGCTCTTTGTGCTTGTCAAGCAGTTGTGTAGTCACTTGCAGATGTGCAGCTGTTTCTGACTGCAGAAGGTGCTCCCTATGTTTCAAATAGCTCTCTTCTGAGCAACAGGGAATTCACCCTGCTGAGCTGCTGGTGCAGATGGGGATGGCACTGCCACTATGTACGTGCTGTAGTACTATTAACCATGCTCCTTTTTGGTTTGCTCCACAGATTCTGTGTGGGAAAGAGATCCCCCGCTGGGTGAACCGCCTGGCCTACTTCAGCTCGTGCATCCCCTTCCTCCAGAGCTGCCTCCCCAAGGAGTGGCTGACCCCAGCAGCCCTGCAGAGCCACATCAGCCTTGGCCTCCATAAGGAGGAGCAGGAAGACACAATGGATGAGGAGTCCCCCTCCACCTCCACAGCCCACTCAGCCTCAGGCACATCGAGAACCTGTAGACATACCCGTGTCTAAACTGTGCCCCATATGCCCTCAAATAACACCCTCCTTTCTCTTGTACTATTTCTTTCTCACACCCTTTTGCACACCTTGGTTTCTTTCTTCTCTTCTTCAATGGACAACACAGGAGTGGGAAGACCCTTTCTATTATGGAGGTGAAGCTTCAGTCCCTTTTTCAAGGGTTTCCACTATAGTTGCTCAGCAAAATGACTGTGAACCCCAGTGCTGAGCTGAGGAGCATGGCAACTAAACTGGATTCTCTTCCCATGGTTCCTTGATCATGCTCCTTGATCAACAGAGAACTGCTGGCTCTCTCAGGCATAAAGGCATGCATACGGGCAAGGGGGCACCATACTGTGATGTTCCTTCTCTGGAACTGTTTTATCTTTTTATCTCTTTCCCCACCCATGTGAGCCCAGCAGCCTCCTCCCTATTTTGGCTGGGCTTGCCATTCCCTTATGACAAATCTCCTGCCCACAGCCAGTGAAGGAAGCAGAGCCAGAACTCAACCTGCTCATCTCTTAGACCAGCAACAAGCTCCACTCAGTCCCATCTGTTTTGCAATTATCAGGTTTCTAACTCATGTGAAGGACAAATGAAAGGTGCTGCTGTTCACAGCCACCAGTTTTCAGTACTTAAATTTAAGAGCTTGAATGACTGTCCTGCTCTTGAAAATAATAACAAAGAACCTAGAAAATGAATGTGTTACCATGGCTTTTCTTTGGGTTCAAAAAGAGGATGGGGCTGTGCTTAGAGGCAGCTACTAAATATCTGCAGAGATGACTTTTGACCATGTTGGTGCTTTCTGGCACAGACCCCTCTCATTTCCCCTAATTCTAGGCAGAATTTCCCCCCAGATTCCCTGGGGAATCTCTCTCCTAGCTGACATATGCTGGCTGTCTTTGGGCCAGAGGAGGAGAGAATATCTGTTGGGAAGGTATTTCCATCAGCTTTTCTTCCTTCACTCAGACCTAAAACTTGTCTCAGAGCCACCTTTCCCTAGTCTATTTTCGAGCCAACCCAAGAAGGTAAAATAAAAGCGGTGAACCCGAAGAATGTCAACTGTTTCCTTCTCCTCCCTTTTTGGAGGTGGAGAGGGAGCTTAAGGGCACATCTGGAAAACATGGATGACCCTTCCAATGCAGGGGGCACCATGGTGCTTTCCATGTGTGCACTATTTCAGTGGCATGGAAAATGGGCACTGGCCTCTCCAGGCTGGCTCTTGACAAGAATCTGGTCCTTGCATATCTTTACGCTCACTCTGACAGCTGATGAGAAAGCAGAGGAGGAGGAAAGGACAAGTATCCCAACTCTTCCACTCAGTTACCTCACTAGGAGTTCTAGCCACAAGATGGATGAGAGAATCAAAGAGGAAATCCAGGCCCCCTTCTCCCCCTTGCAACTCCTCTTGGCTACACAAAGGAGGATGAAAAAGGCATAGTGTTGAAAGGGGGTTGCCATTTTAGAAATCCTGTTTTCAACAGCTATTACCAAGTCAGGGCTTCCATCCTCCACCAAGAAAGAACTGCAAGCTCTTAAAATGGGTGGCTGTTTCCTTTTATTGGTCGCAATAGCATGCTAAGTCCAACCAGCTGTTTCTTTAGCTCAGGTATACGGAAGTGTGCACTTTCAGGGCTGAAGGTCTTGGCTATGATATACATCATGTCTGCACAGAAAATGCTTAATGGTTGTTGCATGTTCACACTCTTAATGAAGCAGAGGGCTGTGGAGAGATGCATGGATGGAAATATAACTCACAGGATGGCCTCACTTCACTGCCTCCCAAAGTGATGCAAGTTTGGGCAACAAAACCTTTACAATATGCCTCTCATTTTCATCCTCTGCACAAACTGCTGCAAGTTCTGTACTGAACTGAAGTCATGTTCTTTATTAACCTTGGTTATTCACAGCCAATACTGAATTGTGAGCAATTCTGCAGCTCCTGGTATCCAGTCCAGCACCAATCTTGATTACCCTTGCTTGTCCAGGGATATTTAATAAGGTTTCCATCCTATTCTCCATCCTGCTGCCTGGAAACCACATTACACAATGTACTGTTGCACACTGTATTCCCTGAAGTCATGGTCATTGCTGCCTAAACCAGCAGTGCAGGCTTCATTTGTCTGAAGTTCCCAGCGTGCCTGCCAATAGCCAGCAGCACATTACATGCAGTGAATTTTAATATCTCCTTTTAGGTCCTTCTCTGGAGAAAAGTGAGTTTTTGTCCAAGTCAGGGAAACTGCAGTCAGAAACATCCAGTTCCTGATGTGACAAAAGCCAGCCAGCCCTCATCCTGAGCTCTAGATAAAGTACCATGTATACACCTAGGAGACAACTAGGGCTCCAGGAGCATGTTTCACATGGAAAACCTTCTCACCGTATTTCCCAAAGTAAAAAATGTAAAAAAAATTACTCACTGTATGATAACCTGGACAAGAAAGCTACATTCAGCATCCTTAGGGACATGAATATGTGCTTGAAGTATTGGGAAGAACACTTGGGGCAAGCTGGCAATGTCATACACCCCAGATGTTTGTTCATCTACTGTTACATTTATCTGTCTGTTTATGGCAGTAGGGGTCACATCAAGGAGGCATCAAACCTCTGTCGTAAATCAAAACCAGAAGATATTCCAAACTTCAAAAGCATTTCTCCCTACTCCTCCCTGTTCAAAGTGAACAACCAACAATGACAAGAACAAAGGGACACTGTGGAAAGAAAATATATATTGATGAAAGCTTTACCTCTGTAATTTAGCAGCATTTTAGATTAAACATGAAGGCATTTTAAAAGCCTAACTTACCATTCATCTCTGGCATAGCATGTTTATTTTTGGCACTTTTCTTACACTTCCAATTATTACAAAGTAATTGTTGTTATATGATTATACCATATTTGTATTTAGTTACACATTTGCTTTCTCTTGCTGTTTTTGAGCATAACACAATGGGGAAAATTTTATGTTATTGATAAGTTATCACTTATCAATGAAAACAAAAGAGCAGTTTATGAACATTTAACAAGAACACCCCATGGCACTGGCACAAACTCTTAACCCTTCTTCTTACTGCCAGGACTTTTGGTGCTGCTTTGAAAGTTAGAAAGAGATGACACCGACTCTGTACATGGGCATCAGCAGCTGTGGGTTAAGAGAGAAGAGGTGAGAACCTCTCTTCTGAGCACATCTGTATGGAATCGTGGAATGGTCTGGATTGGAAAGGGCCTTAAGATCACCCAGTTCCAACCCCCCTGCCATGGGTAGGGACACCTCACACTACACCATGTCACCCAAGCTGCTGTCCAGCCTGGACTTGAACCCTGCCAAGGTTGGAGCATTCACCACTTCTTTCTATAATAGCAGCTCTCAATTTCAGGCCATTATTCTTGGTCTCCTCTTTCGGAGTCTGTGATTTGAGTTGTGTATCTCTCAAAGAAAGTTTTAAAAGGGGCATTTGCTCTTTCAGAGGCTCTGGGTGAGCAGGTTCCCCAGCAATGAGCCTGTGCTCTGTGGTGCCATCGTTTCTAGTCTCAGCACAGTGTGGGGATGGACACAGACCTATTCTCTTGCCCTCAGTACTCCCAGCTGAGAGTTTGTGTTACTGGAACACAGACCCATGTTGCCTTTGTGCTACTGACAACTCAAGAAGCAGTCATTTCCTCCTTTATTCTTCAGTTCTGCTTATTTGTCTCTACCCTGGAGAGGCTCTCAGACCAAGTTAGTGGCCACTGGATTGCAATAATGCTAGCTTATCTTTATTATATGTGTTTGATTTTATCATTTTAGTTCGTATGTAAGTGGTGGCTTAAAGTACCTCCACCAATTCTTCAATGTGATTAATGGAGAAAACCAAAGCAAGTTATCATCAGTGTTTCATTTTCAAATGGTTTTAAATCACTATCTTGAGGCAGCTGGTGCCCTGTTCCATTTTGTCCTTGCTGTGCTCCCCATCAGGCAATGGTTTGGGTTGTGAAAAGGCTGTAGTGACTCAGGAAGTATTTAAAAGCACTTCTTCCAGCTATTGCCACAGGCTACCTGAACGTGGCAGAGCCTTTCGCTATCGTAATACCTGAAAACATCGCAGCCCATGCCTGGAGAGTACGTGCCCTCACCTCTAGCACGTCGTGCTCCACCGCTGTGCATGTGGCTGCCGCTGAGGGGTGTGCGACTGGATAGCACTGCACTTTTAATTACTAGCCGAAATGAACGCCTACCGGCTATAAATCCCAGACACAGACTGTCCATTACTACTGTTGTAGCCAGCTTTGTTTTGGGACGCATATAAAGGGGTTTGGGGGGTCGTTGTGGTTGGAATAGGGAATAACACTGAAGGAAAACGCGGCCCGGCTCTGCCCAAACCGACTCCCGCTCCAGACCCGCCCTGGTGCGCGCAGCCGGCACCACAGCGATCGGAATCCCGCTTCCCGGGCGCGTTGCCGCGATGGAGGGCCGATGTGGCGGCAGACCCGCGCTCCCCCGGAAGCGCTGAACTGGGCCCGAGGGCCTGTGCGAACGAGCTAGATCCGAGCTTCCTCAGGGGCCGTACGGTGGCCCTGGGGGTCCCTCTGCTGGGGAGCACCGCAGGGAAATGCGCTGGTACTAGGAAGGCGGCGAGGCCGGGGGCCGGGGGCCGGGGGCCGGGGGCCGGGGGGGGGGGGGGGGGGCCCCACCCCGGCGGGGCGAACGGGCTGCTGCCAGGGCCTGCGCCCGCCGGTGCACGGGCGGTGGCAGGGAGCAGGCCCCGTCGGACGCTGTGGGGCAGTGTGAGGCCGGTGTACAACGAGGATGGTCCGCATTGGTGTCGCCACAACAGGCGATTGCTTCCTGCTGGCTGGAGGAGGAGAGGGACGGTGAGGCCGCCTGCGACGCTTGTGGGGAGGTGCAGGAAGAGCCTTGCTGTGCTGCCGGGGAGGAGTGAGGGGAGTGCAGAGCGGTGTTTTGTCTTTAAAACGCTGCTTATGTGTTTGTACGACTTTAGCTTTTCAACAGGTCTTAAGCCGCAGTGGCAGTGATCGTCTGATAACGTATGCGTCTGAATAAATGGAAAGGATTTGAGTTAAACAAGTTGATAAGTTATAGTTACAGTTGTGTGCAAAGTGATAGGTGAGGCATAACTTCTAGAATAGTCGAGGTTGGAAACAATGAATAAAGTCAAAGGAATGAAACAAAATTATTTTCATTAGGGACTATAGTGGTAAGACAAGGGATAATGGTGATACCTGGGAATAAAGGGTTATTAACATTGTGCCTCCTTGCTTAAGCAGTCACTGTGCTTGGTGAAGCAGAACCATAGGAGTCAAAGTTGCTAGAATGGTGAAGCAGAACAGTAATAGGTACGATTCATAACTTACCATTTAAGACATTCTTGTTTAAACAGTATCCATAGAAAGAAAAGGAACAAAAGATAGAGTAGCAAAATTTGCAAACTTGACAAGTTTCTACTTTAAGATACATAAAACTGGCTTGTACCGAACCTGAGGTTTGGATAGGAGCCGAAACCCTATTGAGTCTGCGTGAAAGCAAGAGGTTATTCGTGGTGGTGAAGAGGAACTACAGGCCTCCATCCTCACAACCCCCTAACGACCACTGCCAGGAGGCACTGCACAAGTGCATCAATGGGACGAATGCCAGAAAACTAATTATAATACTAGACGGGAATAGGTTTTGCATATGTATTAGGTGTGAAGCAATCTCATGTTTATATAATCATTATATGTAATATAAACAGAGTGGCAAAGGAAAGGTGCGCATGCCTTTGGAGGAGCAATTCCACATGCGCCTCATCACTAAACAAAGTATACCTACTTTACAATTTTGACGAGTTGTGGAGTCTATCCACGTATCAATGGGTTCAAACTTAAATCAGGAGATTTAGATTAGATAAAAGGAAGAAGCTCTTCCCTTTGAGGGTGGTGAGGCCCTGGCACAGGCTGTCCAGAGAAGTTGTGGCTGCCCCATCGCTGGAAATGTTCAAGGCCAGGTTGGATGGGGCTTGGAGCAACCTGCTGTGGGGGAAGGTGTCCCTGCCCATGGCAGAAGGGTGGAACTGGATGAGCATTAAGGTCCTTTCCAACCCAAACCATTCCATGATTCTGTCCTAAGTACCTGTGCATATTAGAGGAAAATCTAAACAACCCAGGTGCACTTATGGATAAAAACTCAGGGAGGAAGACAAAAGCAGCAGCCAGGACAGTGTGTTTGGTTTGTGTAATTCATGTCTCATTTTCCATATATATAATTGGTTTATAAAAAGTAAGCAAATTTAAAGGTGGATAAAGAGTAGGTTAAAGGATCATTCTAAGTTTTAATAATGCTACTAGAGAAATTAGTGTCATCCTCCTCAAATATTCAGCAGCATGCCTCAGAAAAGCTCAGCCAGGCCAGCCTTCAGCTCCTGGCTACTGGTGAAGGGTTCCCTGTTCTGTGAATAGTGTACGTTAATTCTTGGCTACCAGTCTGTAACTTACCAGCATCTATGTGTGTGTGGGCACTGCATTCACATGGTTGTGAGTAGTTTTGCCTGTTTAGTGGAAAATTACGTAGTCCTGCAAGTCCTGCTGCTTTTAGAAACAATAAATGCAGAAGGCTCCCTCCCCTCAGTGTAGTTTGGATGAATATGGCGCTTTATCCTCAGTGACCTGAACATTGGATAGCATACTTTTTGGAAAAACATACATTTTGACTCCCTGGGCAGCATAACTATAACAATTCTTTTTCACAGGCCATGGCTGCAAACCTAATATGTAGCAAGAAATCTGCCAGCATTGTGTAGAAAGCAGTTACCAGTGCAGCAACAGCCTGCCACGAAGGATTGTAACAGCAATGCAATATGATAAAATAGAGGGCTGTTGGGGTTTGGTTTTGTTGTTTGGTGTTTTTTCTGTTCGCATTCACATTCAGACTATCATCTTAATGAAAATAAAGCATGTGCAGCCAAAGAAAACAAATATCTTTACACTGATGATTCAGGGACATGGATGTATTTTTGTGTCTATATATTTTTGAAGACACTTCTGTTTTTCCCCTTACTATGTAGGTGTGCATTTACATGCGAAGGGAAGAGTAGTGACTTTTTAGGTTTGAGCAGCAGGGTGCTACCTCTAAACAACTGATATTTTAAAGTGATTCATCAGGTTTCAGAGTTAGGGTTAGATCCAGTTGTAAGGATGGAGGTAATGCACATCTGCCAGCCTTAAAGAGGCATAAGAGACACTGCTATCATCAGAGATCATAGTGAAGCTGTAAGACCAAGTAATTTGAAGAGCACTTTGAAGTCAATTGAAAAGCACTTCACTAGTTTGTAAGGCATCACGGTGGAGCACAGGAGCAGAAGGACATACCAGAGCTGAAGGAAAGGTAATGGATACAAGCAGCAGCTTATGACAGTGTGTTGTCTGCACTTTGTGAAGTGGTCTCTGGGGGCATACACATCAAGGGAGGTCCATGTGCCATGACAGGAGTGGGCTGGGGAACATCACAAACAGCCCAGGTTGCAGTATGAAACTCGGATTGCTTTGCAACTGTTGCAGAGCTGGGGTTGGACATGTACAAAACATCCCAGCTTATGCACACAGAAGTGTGCAACAGTTCGTGGGGTAATGAAGCAAGGCTCCCCTGCCAGCATGCTCCCACATTATACTGTTCCCTTTGACAGCCTGCTGTTCATTAGCAGCTGCTTTGCCAAGCTGGGCAGGAGACTTCATGTAGTGGGAGGAGATGGTGGTGGTGCGAAGTCCCACTCCATCCTCTCTGCTCCTCATTTCTACCGCATCCAGCGTACACCTTCCCGCCTGTATTTGTGTGCATGCGTATGCTGGGGAGGCTCAGCTCCAGCCTGGAGTACACGGAGTGTTGCAGCTTTACTGCCTGGCAGAGGGCGTATTTCCTGCCAATGGATGCTGGTGTGAAGGCAAATGCTACTTAGCCAGCTGATGAGTGTGCTTGTGGAGTGTGGGGTGACATGTGCATGACGGAACGTGGTTGCTCTGCTTCTGGGATGGGGTCAAGTCCAGAAAAGAATGTCAAAGAAAGCCTGAAGGGATCTGGCTGAGCGCTGATCTTGGGCCTTTACAGAGTGACTGCTGCTCTGTGGCTGAAGTGGCATGAGGATGTGTTTATATCAAAAACATTTATTTTGGCCGACAGGATGGCAATAAGTTAATCAAACAGGAAAAGTAGTGAGGAAAATAAGCTTTAACCCATCTTTGCTTCTTTGCAGGCTCTGGAAAGGGGAGGCAGATCCTAAGCCATCCTTAGGTGTAAGGATGCACTTTTTTGTCTTTCCAGTCAGTCCAACTCCCCAGTGGCATTCAGGCAATCACCTTCCACCACCTCATTCTTTTGAGGGTTTTGGCAGTCCTGGGGTTTCCTGGGTGGAGGTTGGAAAACTTACAGTGTCCTGGACAGGCTAAAGAAGAAACTCTGACATACCACCAAGAGTTTCCCCCCTGAGATTGCTGCCTCCTGCTGCCCTTTCCCCTGCCAGCCCTGATGAAGTTTCTGAATCCCTTGGCTGGCATATGCCCCCCACATGGAAAGGAAAAAAAATTCCATAATCAGCTCAGTTAATGTTAAACAGATTGTTATTTACGAAACTAAGCACCGGAAAGTATGTTACTGGTTAACTGACCTCTCTTGCCCTGGCTGTACCTTATCTCAGAATGGCCCCACATATTGCTGTCCTCCAGCTTCTGTGGATACTGCATGAACCCCTATTTGAAAAGGTGTAGGCATTTGTGCACATGCTGTACCATAAGAACAGCTACCATGTTCTTCCACTAGTGCTTCCACTGTTAAGACTTGTGTGATTTGATTGTTTTTTCTTTTTTGAAAGAAATCTACAAGTGTGGACTCTGATGGCTTCTTAATGATACAGTGCCTCTTTATATGGATGCCTCAGAACTTGTCTGAATCCAGTCAGAAGGCTTTAAAATAACTAGCTTTGGTTTTGTATCACAACAAACAAAAATCACGTCTGCTCCATGCTGAGTCCATTTGTGCAGGTTTCTGTTCACCTCATATTTTAATATCAAAGCTATAAATCCTGAAGTGGAAAGGTGGTGGGCAGAACGCTGTCTTTCAGAAATGCCACCAGGCAGGAGGCTGACAACAGCACTGCCAGGCACTGATGTAATGATCCTTGTTTTTTTTAGTTATGTGAATAGCTACAGCCACTTCCCTCTGTGCCTGTCAAAAGCCAGAAGGCTGATGGTTCAATGGATGCTACTGTTAAGGCAGCAAGTAGAGAGAAAACAATGCAAAATCCATTGGCAAATCCATTGTTGCACACACACAGGCTGAAAAAAGTAAATTGACAGCAACATTTGCAGAGCATTCGGTCAGTTCCGTCTTCAGCTGCATGTCAGGTGTTCTTGGCATAGGATCAAAGTCCTGGTTTATGGTGTGAGGAGGAAGGGAGAAGGAGGACTGAAGCAGGAAGCTCTGTATTTGATTTGAATACATTACACTCAAAATGAGGTGTGGTGCAAAGTGCTGCCTATTTGATTAGGAAAGTAGTGTTTGAGCTTGATTCCTTATTGTGGCTTATCTCTTCAAGCATGACAAACTCTGCTTTCAGAATAAAGGATACAGGGTTAGGTTCCAGGTGATTAATTTTAAGCACTCGTAATCTCTCACTTAAAAATCCTTCTGACACAGCTCTAGGCAAAGATGGGATTTGGTGACTACTCTTTTTTCATGATGGCAGTTCCTCGTTCTCTGCCATCCTGCTCAGGAACCCACTTTTTCCACTATTTGGATTCTCGCTTATGTTGTTTTTCCACCTTTACTTTCTGAAGGGATTTTCTCTCATCCCCAGATCCTTTACGTCAGCTTGGGTTGTTGTTCAAAAGGGGAAGCAGCCACTGCAGAGCATTCTGGTGTGAGTTAGAAATCCTTATGGATGAGCTAAATGCTGCAGAGCAGAAATGAAGTCAACATTAGCTCTAATGAGAATTTAGCTATATCAATGGCATGGCACTTCTGATCTTTTCTCCCAACCCTTCTACTTCCTCTATGGTCACAACTGTGTCAGAAGTGTGCTTAAAATCTTTGTGTTTGACCAGTCAGAGTATGTTTCGCTTTCTGTTAGGAAAAAATCATCAGTTATGCGCTGGAAACATGTCCCTTCTCCTTTTCCATTCCCAGAGACAAACCCTGTCTGCCCATTGTAGTCAGCTGCAGGCTCTAGTCCTGCTGAAGGACTAGTGAAGGAGAAGGACTGTGCTTCCTCAGCCAAAATGTCCCTTGTGTCAGCCTTGCTAGGGTTCCTCACTAGGAAAACCTGCCCTCCTGCAGCATGTGCTGCCTCAGCTGCACAGAACAATAGTGCCTATTCCAGCACTGAAATCTTGGAGAGAATATAATTTCCAAGGAATGTTATTTCCTTATCATGCCATTGTCCTTAATAAAATAGTTCCATGTCTTTAATAAAATATTTACAAAGAATCAATGTGGACTATGTTTTTTTCACAGTGTGATTTTTATTAGTAATTTACTCAGCCTAGCAGATGCCACCATGCAAACTATGCAAAGAGCAAATCTCTTCCTCCAAGTGTAAATATTTACAGATCACATTCAGTGGTATTCAGTACTCTGCAAACATACTGTCGACATTTCCATACAGACTCTTCCCTAATCACAGCCTCAGAGTTGGCAGAGGCATGTCCTCTGTGAAAAGATGGTTATGGAGAAAAATGATAACAGGCTAAATAGCTTCTTAGCTTAAATAGACGTGAATTATACCGTAGGTGAATCTGGCCTACATCAAGTTAAAGCTCTATTATAGGAGCTTGTACCTAACACATGAAGAGTTGGAGAGGTGATGCTTCTAGGATGACAGCTCTCCCAGACACATTGGAAACCTCTCTTGGCACTGGATGAAAGGGTGATTACAGTGCATGGCAGGGAGTCTGAACTTTCCACATGTTTTAAAAGATGTAGTTCCACCTTTTCTTGGACATAATGGACAGGAGACCTGTGGCTATTCATTGCATCAACTAGCTAATTTTATTTGAATAGTCCAGAAGAGCAAATATTCCCTACCCCAATCTGTTCTTGAAACATAAATGTATTATTTCTTAAATGCAGACCTACCTTTTGGTCTCTAGCTCAGTCAGTGCAAAATCCCTGAATGGGTTAATGTCTGGGACATAGCTTGACAATATTGGAGCCATTCTGTTTAAACTAATATCCTAAAATCCCCTTTCCTGAACCTCCAGCCCAATTCCCCTTGATAGAATTTCATTACTTCCCATAATCTCTGCTCCCCTTACAGTCTGGCATAAATACAAACCAACTGAAAGCTCAGTAGTGGCTTAGCCCTCATTTATATTCTGTGAAAACCTGCTATTGCAAGCATGACTTAGCACCCAGCTTTTCACACTAGGTATGCAAAAGTGTAGAGAACTCTTTTAACACTTGAAAATTATGTCCTCTGGGATTCTCAGAGGAAGCAGCCTGACTGACATTCCCTGTGCATCACAGGGAATGAAATGAGAGGGAACATTCATGACATCCCATATTCTGTTTGCCTGATCACAGCTTTATTTCTTTCAGTGCCTGTATTTTCCCATCCTACACCCAGATTTCTCCATGAGCATTTTCTTTTTTATCTCCTGAGGCTGTTTTTCCCAGAAATGCACTTGTTCCCCGCTACACCAATCCTAGTGCCGCCTGCCTTACTGAACAGCTTCGCAATATTTCCTCCATCTTTGTGCTTGGTCCTACCAGATAATCTGTTCTACACCACAGTTCTCCTCCCTCCTTTAACTGTCTCTTCTAATTCTCTTAAATTGCAGAGTTTCCTTCTTGCTTCCTCCATCTCTGGAAAGGAGGGAAGGGAACATTTCAGTAAATGTCACTATCCTACATGAAAGATGGAATGATACATCAGTACAATATATTACATGTATTCTATTAATGTAATATTTTAAGGTATTCTGTTAATGTAATATACATTATTACATGTAATATAATAATGTATTGTAATACAATACAGACATGCTTTTGAGTCCTTAATGTGGAGTATTGGCCAGCTCTGAATTTTGTCTGCTTTAATCAATTGATGGACCAGTGTATCAACTCCTCCTTACTGCTCATTTAAAAAGCAGGTCTGTGTGTTCTAAAATTACACTGGGATGTGTGAATGATTTCAGCATCACTTTCACCTATGGCCAGATTAGCAGTATCAGCCGGAATCCTGAATTGATTTTGTGATGACTCTTCTTTGGGTGATCTGGAAATAACTCAGAGGAGCTGAATTCAGGAAATAATGTGCTTGCTCTAAAATGGGCACCTATGGCTTAAAGGAAATCCTGCACCTGCTGCTGTTTCATGGAGCTGGCTCCACACTTCAGAATGCAGCTTGAATATATGTGAGTGTATGTACATGTATGTGCATGGTGTGGTATATAAAAGCTTCAAAGCTCCACTGCTGCTAGGGTCTGCCCAAGCAGCTGTGAGCTGCTGATGTGCAACCTTTTAGTAGAGGCAGCAGCACTAAAAATAGCAAAACAATCAACAAGGATCTGATTTTGACTATTTGATTCAGTACTTAGTTCAGCAGTAGTCTACCCACACAATGCTGTTGCCAGTGGACTGTTTTACTAGATGTTTTACTACATCTAGTAAACCAGAGATTTGCATATTTTAAGGATTACACAAGAAAAAATATTCCTAGATTATGGTGGAATTATGTGTTTTTCACAGTCCAGGGTAGCAAGAAGCTGTTAGCCTGTGCATTTTTTCCTCCTTGGTGGCAAGTATTGAAGTTTGGACCCAACTAATTTAGCTACTGTTCCTCTACTCACCACAAGAAATCCTGTTAGGTTTACTGCAGACAACAAACTGCACTAAAACTGAGCTTTGCAGGCACACTCCCGCTGCTGCTGCTACACCACAACTTGCAGGACATGGTGGCCTCTGGAGACCATTGTGAACATTCAGGACAATGAATGTTCTGGATAATGGACAACGGACAATGAATATACCTCATCGGACTACAGCTCTCAGACGCATATTCCAGACCGAACTCATCGCAAACCTCTACACACACAGTGACAGTAGCCGGGCCCATTGGCGGCCTGATGTAAGGGCAGAGAAAGCACAGTAGAGCTAGCGGTGCAGCTCGGAGCCAGGCGAAGGCAGCGACGCTCCCCCTGGGCCACGGGCCGCACAGACCGAGTCTCGGGCAGGCGGCAGCTGGTGACGGACGGTCAGTGCCGAGCTCGCAGTGCCACCTGGCGGGGCCAGCCGCCACATGAGCCCGGCTCTGGCACCGCGGAGACGGGAGCGACACTCACCCAACCCTTCCCAGCCCGGACCCCACTGCCATTACCCTCAAACCACTTCCGCCCTTCTCAAACCCCGCCCCTAGTGCAGCATCACTTCCGCGCTTACGTCACCGCCTCCGACCGGTGTTTCCGGGGTGAAAAGCGGCCTGCGCTGCTGGAACGCTCCGGAGGGGCGGGGCTAGAGGGGGAGGAGGCGTGGTTTCAGCGTTAGGGGGCGTGGCTAGATGAGTATGGGCCAAAGAGCGCCGGAGGGGGGCGTTTCTTGGCCGTGGCATGTGGCGTGGCGCGGCGTGGTGTGCAGTCTGCTGGCGTTCTCCTGGGGCCGCCCAAGCGCGGGGCGTGCTGCTTCTGCCGGGGTAAGCGCCGCTTCCGTCCCGCTGGCCCAGGCCGTGGTTTGCGCCGGGCTGAGCCGCATCGTGACGGACTGGCTGCGGGCGGGCGGTGGTTTGTCCTGGGCCTGAGGAAAACGGGCGGGGGAGCACCGCGCCGGGGGAGCGGCATGGTCGGGTCTCGGAGGTAGGGGTTTCGCTGAGCGAGTGTCGGTTTGAAGCGCTGCGGGTCCTGACCGTGGCCCGGGAGAGGAGTAGGGGCTCGGCAGTCTTTCCCATGAGTTCCCCACGGAAGTTGCTAATAAAGTTGCAACTCCCCTCCCCATAGCAGTCGTGACGGTGGTGGTTTGCGCTCACCCACTGCTCGCCCGCAGTGCGATGTGTGTGTGCTGGTAGGTGATCGCGTTCTTGGGGAGGAAACTGGTTTCGTTGTGGGGAGGAAAGCTGTTTGACTCAGCAAGTAATTCTTTGACTGAAATGTAGCATTTTTAGGCCCTATGGGCCACCTCAGAAATACGGTGCCTGGTAGCAGATCACCCTTATGCATGTGTACACATAACTTGTGTCTGAATAAATAGTGCCGAATGCGTACAGTTGAGACCACCTTTGTTAGGAGTGTAAGTGGAAAGAGTGAAATTTTTCGCATCGTACCAGTAGGTCTTGCTGTACCCTGGGCAATGTTAGCGAAGTGTCAGCTAGAATCTGGAAATTGGTAGGAAGAATAAATACTGTCCTTTGCTCAGGCTCTTGAATACGGCAGACTGTAGGGATATCCTATCACAGTGGATCTTGTTCTGGTGGATTCATCAAATCCCTTAACTTATGCTGTCTCCCAAACTTTGTCTTCTAGGATTGGCAAAGAAAAATCCTGCTAAGTAAGGTGCTTTGATGTCCTACATGTTAGCTGACCGAATCACTACCAGGCTTGGTCATGCAACAGCACTCCTGTTTCCTGATAAAGTGAGTCAAATGACTACTTACTGGAGGAGCAGACACATAGAAATATTAATTTTCTGCACATTGAGCCAAACTGTAGCCTTGCTGAGTGAGGCAAACTCACTGATAGTGAGCAGTTTGTGCCCTTTAGACCTCACAGGGTTTGTGGTTGATCAGTACCTTTGAAAACTAGGCTGTAAGATGTGTATTGATGCAGTGTCTGTCTCAAAAGTGCATGAATTTCTGTGTTAATCTTACTTGTCTACTGTAATTATCCACTACTATATGTGTTAATGCAGGACATTATGCAGGCTAATTTAGAAGGAATCTATAAATTTTTATTAGCTTTCACATCTCTAGTAGATTAATGCTCTTGCTCTGCATGTGTACTGCTTGGTTCTAGTTTATATGTATATAAACATAATGTATGTATGCATGCCTGTATTGTTTTAGTAAGTTTCTGGGATAAATTCAAGATTACATGCCTCTTAACACATTGGTGCAGACGTCTGTTTTTTGTTTTAATGGCAAATACCCTGCTGGATTTATAAACCCATCTGCCAGAAAACAGACTTTGTATCTGGTTATTTTCTCTTTAAATTCTAATTGGCACGTCCACGCAGCCCTGCAGCCTCTGCCTTCTAAGGGAAGTCTCCTGGCACACACTTCTCCAAGGCAATGGGAATAATGTGCAAGCAAAATTTCAAGCTTTAGTGGTGAAAACCATTAGTTCTGAAGACCTGGTAATGTATTTGAAATGTCTGTCTGCCTGCATACCCTGGATTACAGGTTTAGGTAATGTACCTGCTTTTAAATGTGATAGCTTTTTCAGTGACTAAATTTTCAAGAGAAAATGTTGCAGAGACATTAAGTAATGGGGATGTTTGTTTAAAGCAGTGCATGATTGAAATGTCCAAAACTTTTCTTAAGGAAACCATGAAGAATTGATTTGTTTGGGTAGAGTTTCTTGCCTCTTTTTGTTTTGTTGGTTTTGATTTATTTTTAAGACATGGATTAAACTCCATGAAGCTTTTAGTATACAGTTCTGCTGATGTTTCCTCATGCTCTAATACACAATGTTAACTGAGCACATGTCATCATCCATGCTTGAACATGGTTTTATAATCTGGAAGTGCCTTCAAGCAGGTCAAGCAAGAGTTTATGCCGCTATGATTGCAGTGAGAAACTACGGGGTACCTAGATGTAGAAGGAATGAACTTTTTGCTCCACTTTTACCCACAAAACAGGTATATTGCAGTGGCTTCTTCATCCCGGCTGACATGCATGTTCTGATTGTTGCTGGGCTTAGGGCTCAGAGCAGTGGTACACATAGCTGCGTGTCATGCACACGCATTTCCTCGCAGCCCTCATCTCCATATGGAGATTTTGTACATTGCCTGCATGTGTGTGCTGAACAGCTCAGATTCATCTGCTTCGAACTGGTTCTGTTCTCATTGCTGGACCCCTCATACAGGAGTGCTCAGGCACTGTTAATGTCAGTTTTATGTTTAGATTATCCTTGCGTTTTAATTGTTGCTTTGTGTTTTATACAAACTTCTAATAGCAAGAGCAATCACACACTGGGAAAGACAGAGGAGAAAGCTTCTGTCAGTCATTGGCATTTGCAGGTAGATCCTCAGCTGCTGTGCAGTGGCTACAGTTCTCGTCATGTCTGCCATTCCTGGCAGTGTTCAAGGCCAGGTTCAATGGGTCTTTGACCAACCTGATCTAGTGAAAGGTGTCTCTGCCTGTAGCAGGGGGGTTGGAAATAGATGATCTTTAAGGTCCTTCCAGCTCAGAGCATTCTGTGGCTCTATGGTATGTGTTCCCTGTGGTGATGTTCATCTGTGGGGCTTGGGCTAAGGTTGTCATTCTGTTGTACTTGGGAGCTGGGTTATGATATGATAGACTCGCAGGTCATGAGACTTCCCTGGTCTGTGTGCTCGGTGTTGTCGTCACCTTTGTTCCTCGGGAGCCATCTGGTGACAACTATGAACAATTGCACCTTTGGCCTTTTCTGGGGGAGCCGGCTGGTAACAGAAACCGCTTCCTACTGCTACCTTCATCCAATATCCTCATTCTCCTCCAGGATAATGACAGTAGTATCTGACAAGTTTAAAAATTTTGAATATTCTTCGAACTCCTGAAACCAGCCTGGCTCTTTTGCTAGGAACCAGTATGTTGCTGAATACGGTTCAGATCCTGCTCAGGGTTAAATAGATACCTGTGGCTACACCAACCCTCATGAAAAACACTGCAACTTGCAGGAGCAGGGCTCAAGACTCCACTGACAGGCACTGTGGCTACTCAAACCCCAGTGGCAAGGAATTTGGCTACCTCAGCCCCTGCGGCACGTGCTGTGGGTACTCAAACCCTGATGACAAGCACTGCAGCCTCTTCAGTCTTCACAACAAGCACTGTAGCTACCCATACTCTGAGGACCAGTACTGTGGCTACTCAGACTCCAGCAACAGGCACCGCAGCTACTTTTATCCCCATAACAAACACTGCAGCCACTCAGACTCCAGCGACAACTATGGTAGCTGTTCAAACTCTGGCAACAGGCACTGCAGCCACTTTAATTCCTGTGATGAGTGCTGTTCCAATCTCTGGTGGGCAGTTTTCTAGATGGAGTGGAAAAGCTGATTTTGCTCCAACTCCTATGCAAAGGGATTCAAATCCCTTTGTACAAGAAGTAAGTGAAAAATCTTACGGTCATTGTTAAAGGGGCCCTGCCTCCAGCTAGGTTGAGGAAAAAGACAGCCAGACTTAGTGGACTGTGTGGCTCAGATGGCCTGGCACATCAGTCCCACAGGAGTATGAAGCTCTAGTAGACACCAGTGCACAGTGTACCCTGATGCCATCAAGAGGCAAATCCTGTTTGTATTTCTGGAGTAACAGGGGATTGCAACGGCTGACTGTACTGAAATCAGCCAGACTGGGAAGGAGTGGCAAAAGCACCCCATTGTGACTGGTCCAGAGGCTTCATGTGTCATTGGCATAGACTGTCTCAGGAGAGGTTACTTGAAGGACTCAGAAGGGTACTGATGGGGTTTTGGTATTACTGCCTTGGAAATTGCGCACCTGTCCACCGTGCCTGCTGTCTCAGAGTACGCTTCTGTTGTGGGGTTGCTGAAGGTCAAAGAACAAGTGCCAGTCACGACCACAACAGTGCACTGGCAGCAGTGTCATACCGGTCAAGACTCCCCGATTCCCGTCCATAAGCTGATCCGTAGACTGGAGAGCCAAGTAGAACCTGCTAACCCTTTAATAGCCCCATATGGCCAGTGCAAAAGTCTAGCAGAGAGTGGAGACTAACAGTACTATCATGGCCTGAATGAAGTCACATCACCCTTGAATGCTGCCGTACCAGACATGCTAGAACTTCAGCATGAGCTGGAGTCAAAGGCAGCCAAGTGGTATGCCACGATTGATGTTGCCAATGCATTTTTCTCAATTCCTTTGGCAGCAGAGTGCAGGCCACGGTTCACTTTTACTTGGAGGGGCGTCCAATACACTTGCAACCAACTGCCCCAGGAGTGGAAAGACAGCCCTGCCATCTGCCATGGACTGATCCAGACTGCACTGGAACAGGGGCAAGCTCCAGAACACCTGCAGTACATTGATGATATTATCGTGTTGGGTGATACAGCAGAAGAAGTTTTGGAGAAAGGGAGGAAAATTATCCAAATCCTGCTGAAAGCTGGTTTTGCCATAAAACGGAGTAAGGTCAAGGGACCTGCATAGGCGATTCAGTTTTGGGGAATAAAATGGCAAGATGGATGTCACCAGATCCCCACAGATGTGATCAACAAGATAACAGCAATGTCTCCACCAACTAATAAGAAAGCTTGTATTTCTTTCTTAAGTATTGTGGGGTTCTGGAGAATGCACATCCCAAATTACAGACCCAGAAGAAGAATGATTTCAAATGGGGCCCTGAGCAACAAGCAGCCTTTGAGCAAATTAAACAAGAGATAGTTCATGCAGTGGCCCTCAGGCCAGCCTAGAAAGTGCAAGATGTGAAGAATGTGCCGTACACTGCAGCAGGGGAGAATGGTCCTACCTGGAGCCTCTTGCAGAAAGCTCCAGGGGAGACTTGAGGTTGACCCTTCGGCTATTGGAGTAGGGGATACAGAGGATCTGAGGCCAGCTGTACCCCGTCTGAAAAAGAGACTGGCAGCCTATGAAGGGGTTCGAGCTGCTTCAGAAGTGATTGGCACTGAAGCACAGCTTCTCCTGTGCATGGTACTTGGTTGCTGGCTGGGTTTAAACCACCACACTGTTCGGGAGGGCAGTGGGATTGTCTTCCCTGAGCTCCAGCTGACTTGATACCAGGATGGAGAACCGCTTAAGCAATAGTTCAGCAAAACACTTGGACAGACATGTCAGGGAACATGCACTGGTGTTAGATTTGTTTTAAATACATATTAAAAAAAAGGGGGGGGAGGGAGGAGTAGAAAAAAGGGATTTGATGACATTTGCATTGAATTTTGCTTATTTATTTGTGTTGGATTTGTATTTGTTTGGCTTGAGGAGACTTTGCAGCACTAACTAAATTTGGGTTTAAATCCACTTAAGTTAGACCCCAATACAACTTCTGTGTGGACAGCAAGATTTAATTTAATTTCAATAGGATGGAACATGTTATTTTATGGAGTTTTCTTCTCTGTCTTTTTTTGTTTGGCTTCTCTGTATTAAAAAGGATAAACCTTTCCACTCTTCCATCTCTATGGGAAAATACTTTGATTGTATCAGAGAAGTGGCTCTCTGGTTGCATACAACGATACTTAGTTATTTTTGTTTTATGCTTTCAGCTCTTGTCCTACTGTACCCAGGCTTTTACCGGCTTTTGCTTCCCCTAAAGGTGCAGTAAGTCCTGGCAGTGAGAAAACAGTTACAAGGGTTTGCCTGGTAAGTTTCTACATTCAAAATTACGATTTTTCTTTTGCTCCCTCTGGACAGATTTGAAACTGCTATGAAACAAGTCCATTGGTAAAGTGAAATTTTGTGGAAGTTGGCAGAAGCTGAGCAGATGGGTGAGGGCAAAATTCATCCCTAGTTGTGAATGCTGCATCCCTGGCAGTGTTCAAGGCCAGGTTGGACAGAGCCTTGGGTGACATGGTTTAGTGCGAGGTGTCCTTGCCCATGGCAGGGGGGTTGGAACTAGATGATCTTAAGGTCCTTTCCAACCCTAACTATTCTGTGATTCTATAAAGGTAGAAGTGTTATCAATGCAAACTGGTTGAATGGGAATATTTGGGATCCATTTAAGGTCAGGCAAGCCATTAATTGGAGATGAGGCTAGTTCGTGTGTTTATGCTATCTCTTCCCTTCCTCACTTCTCAATGTACATAATCCTCTGAATCTTACCTATTGGTTATTTTTGGTTTGTATGTGATATATGTTATAGGAACACTCCTCTTGCCCCTGTCCTTCAGAAAAGACAAATCCCACAGCAGGTGTTTTTGGGTATTCCTGAGATGCTTTTCATGACACACTTACTAAATATATGCTTTCATATTAAAAGTAGACTGGCTTGTAGCTAGGCACTAAGCTGGATTTCAAGATACTCAGTTTTCATTTGCAACTCTGACCAGTTCCTTCTATAGCCATACACAAATGGCTCAGTCTTGTCGCACTTCTTTTCCACGCTATGAGATGAAGGAGGGTTGTTCTATCTTACCTACGCTCTGCTCTTTTGAACCGATGCCATGTTGTGCTATGGACTGACCTGTGTTGCAAAGGTTGGCCTGATGTATTTGTGTCAGCAGAGCTCCTTTACATCATCATCCTTTTGATGAAACTTCGTATCATTAGTGTGTCATTTTGCTAGCAGTGGCATCTGGACTTATGTTCCCATATCTAATTGAAAAAAGGAGAGCATGGTAAAAAAAAAAAAAAAAAAAAGAAGCTATTTCTTTTTGGTTTTGTTGTAAGATAAGCAAAAGGTTGGCTTATTAAGGAGGTTAAGGATGGGAGTATCTGGTAGGTGAGAAATGCCCAATGATAAATTGAAGTATTCTATGTCCAAGCAAAGAGTGTTTACTCCTTAGTTCTTTACCTGCAGTAAATGAGTGTTAGTCTAATTGGTAACTTAATAAACAGTAAGTATTGCCATAAATATTTTTTTGGCCTTTCTCAGCTGTGCTTATCAAGTTTCTTTTCCTGCTGAGACCAGTTTTCTTTTGAGTCATCATTTCTTCCCATTTCTAAAACTCTTCCTATCGTAGCTGATCTGAAAAGGTGATGCTGTCACTAGGATTTCACAGCTATTTATGTGAAGGCTTCAGTGTGAGTTTCTGACATGCTGACTTGATGAGGCTTACAAAAAGGAGCAAAGTGGCTCTCCCTCCTTGAAAAGAAAATATTCTATACCCTGGTTTCATTTTTTTAAAAAGTATTTTGTTTGGAAAATGTCTCATTTATGAGCATGATGGAAGGTGCTGGGACAACTGTAGGTATGACTAGCTGGTCTGAAGTCTGAGTGTGAAAACTTGAGACCATCTTTGAAATGAGCAAACACACTCCCTTCTCAAGCTATTTTTTTATTTATTAGTCCTTTTTATTAATGAATCATAATTATCTAGAGCTTTATAAAATGCACAAATCCTATTTAATCTTTCCAGTTTCTTTTTATATGTGAGTTTTTTTTCTGGGATAATCATAGTAACTTCCTTAGTTTGTGATACAGATGTTGTGTGTGTACAGTATTTGCTTAGGCTGATGTAGAACTGTAAAGCCTGATGTATCTCAGATGCTTTCCATGTCTGGAAATGACCTCGTTCGCAAGAGCAGCAGCTCCTGCATTGTCTCAAAATGGTACTGCTATGCAGAGCTCCTTTAGGAACAAGAAGTGTAAGTGGTGTGACTGAAGACTACCTCCCACCTGATGGTGGAGCCTATGCCTTTGAAGGCCTCATAGAACCTTCTGTTCTTGAATTTGATCTTGAGCAGATCGTCTATGAAGAAAAGCTGAGAGAGCTGGGACTGCTCAGCCCTGGCTCATGGGGATCTTTTTAATGTATATAAATACCTGAAGGGAGAGTGCTCTTTTCAGTGGTGCCTAGTGGCAGTGACATCATCCCTGTGAACTGGGACACTGAACCTGGAACAGAGCCTCTTCTGATGGAGAACCCTGCTTTTCTCCATGGTGGTTCACCTGAATATTATTTGCAGTCTGTCTTCTAAAGTCTTCATGGTTACTGGCACTAGGGTAATAATGTATGTACTTTCTGCTAATGAAAAGGTGTCTGATACACTGTCATCAGGCTTAGAGCCATGTTTTCAGGCTGTCTCATGCTTTTGATAAATACATAAATGTTCTGTAGCCAAGACCAGGTTGTGCAAATGTTCTGTTGATGATAACTAAAGCTTACTTATAGCTTTAGGTGCAGGCTAACCGTGCAACTCAGCTACAGCTTCTGGTCTCAGAGAGGTAATGTCACCGTGTCCTGGTTGCTGTTGATTCTTTCATAATGTGGAGCATGCAAAGTCTTCTCCATTGAAAGCAGCTGCACCTCTTTTTTAGTTCTATGTCAAGTTTTGTAAGACTTAATCATTGCTAGATGAAGATTTGCACTGTTGGCTCTGGCTAATGATAGATTTCTGAGTGAAAGGCCAAAGTACCTCTTCTAAAGAGGCACTTCAGAGTTGTAAACAGGAAAAAAAGTGAACTTTGGAATTACAAAGGAGAGCTGGAAGAGCTGAGGGTTGTTGCCAACATCCAGTGGAAATGTTCTTCCTTTTTCTTGTTTATGTTTGAAAGTTGGTGGCTTCATACTGCTGAAGCCTGATGCCCACCAGTTGTTAGTGAAGAAGGTGAAAACCCAGCATCACTTGCAAAATTCCTTCAAATTGCCTTGCCAGGGCACCTTTGTGCCTAATTATGCTTTAAGACTAGGGAAACTGACTTTCTCTGTCTTCTTTTATTTTTTGGCCTTTTAGAAATGAGCATTGGTATTAGATTTACCAAAAAAACCCTTGGGAATTTGCTTTTCCAGCTTCTTACTGAGATGGACACAGCTTTTCACAAAGGACTTCTCTCCCTCAAGTCCACTAAGCTGACCCAGAATAGAGAGGGAACCCGAACAGGAGACTGATACCCCTCTGACCCATATAGTCACTTAAAACATTAGTACTTTTTGATGATCTACTTTGGAAACTTTTGGGTTTCTGGATGATTTTAAGAAGCAAATACATTTCATAGTCATTGATAGTTATCATGCCAGAACATGCAGTGATCTTTAAGGTCCCTTCTAACCTGAACCATTCTATGATTCTTTTAGCAGTGAAGAGTCATTGCACTGGGACCGTGCTTTGGCCGTTTCAAGACTGTCTGAAGTTTTTTCTCTGTTTCTGAGCAATCCACAGTATTGCCTGATGATTTTGTAACAGAGCACCATCACTGTTGTGCATAACACTGCTGAAAACCATGCACAGGCTTAAATTCCTGAGCAGACTTGCAGAACCTTGTGTTCTACATGAAGATGTGTCCTATTTCTTAATGCCCAAGATCAGTATTACAGCTACATGAACCAATAGAGGAGCATAATAATTTCTGAGAAATATCTGGAGTGAAAGATAGGATTGCAACAGTTAACTCCAGTGAAATTTAATTTGACCTGTATTGCCAGGAAAATGCTGACTGCAGTAAAACTCTGTAAGGCAGGAGGTGGGCAGGTGAGCAGACTTTAACACATTGGCAGCTTTATTTGCTCCGAAAGTAACACTTAGTTGATTGTACCTTCAGGCTGAAGTCACTGCTTGTTTAAGTTTCTGTTAGGTCCGGACTTGGCAGTTTTGAATTTATAGCACCTCAGACACAATTTATTCCTATGCATGTACACTGTGCTGGTTCTGGCTTCTAATGCCGTCTCTCAGCAAGCATGAAGCACCCATGCTGCAGAGTACCTGCTTCTTCAGGCATTTAGAGAAACCAAAATCATGAGCTTTCCTGTTACTCTTCTTGATCTCCTTTGTTCTTTATTAGCTCAGTGGTAGCAGAGCTCATGGGGCAGCTACTGGGATGGTTCCTTTGAGGGCCTTGTTGAAAGGTGTTTAATTTGAAACATGTATTATGAAATGCCCTGCTTATGATCTCCTGTTCCCATGAGACAACAGCATGTCTGAAAACTTGCTAGCTGCTTTGGGTGTGGATCAGCCCAAGGAAGGTTGCACTTGAGTCATAGTGCAGATTTTTATTGCTTGGAGGTATCTTTGTTGCCAGATTTATTGTCCAGTTACAGCTTTATGCAGTTAATGTAGTTGACGGTTAATTTTTCTGTATCTTAAAACTGGATTGTTTCAGATACTCCAAAACAAGCCACATTTTCATAAATGAAATAGCTGTCTCATCATTTTTCACAGGTAAAAGTCTTGCTGAGTAATACTTCTCACCATCTGAACTGTATCACATGGCGCTAATATGGGTGAGAAAGGTTGATGGTGGGTAGTGCTGATTTTGGGGTTATAGGCTTTAGCAGGCTTTTTTCTCGGAGGCAAAATGTGATGGCAGTGGAGCATCAGTGGTGCCAGTGTGGGTTGTCCTTGTTAGTGGGATAACAAATGCATAAACTGTCTTGCCTTGTGTCCTGAGAGAGGAATACAAGTGGAGACCTGAGGCACAGAAAGGTGGAGATTGCCAGAGCTGGTAATAGTCAAAACAAAACTAACCAAAGAAAGAAACCAAACCCACCCACAAAACCCATTGTGGTTAAATGTGTAAAGATTGTGAATCCATAGCACTGCATTACTTCCACAGGAAGCTGGAATGAGGGAAGGAGGCTGAGCTCAGGTTGTATCACTGTCAGTATGGGCTCTAACCACTAAAACCTCCTTCCTGTAGGGAAAGGAAGGTTGAGCAAGTTGCTGAGAATGTTGAACCTGAAGGATACAATCTGCATGAATGAGGT